TTCCGCCACGTTAGATTCCACAACCTGACTCACGAGGCGGTTGAGCAGGATTCGGGCATTCACCTTGCTTACGCAACTCAGCAAGTTGATGCCACGATAATCCGTGCAACATTGCTTGCTCTCTTTGCCCTTGTACAGTGGTAGCACAAGTGCATCCTTCAGCTCAGCAGGCACCTCCTCCACAATCCACACGCGTTGCACCAAGTGGTGCAGCGCAGTCAACAACGCGGGTCCACAGTGTTTCAATACTTCAGGCGGGATCTCGTCAACAACGGCACACTTGCCGTTTCGCAGCTGAGCAAGTGCTCTCTGCGTCTCATCCAGTGTCGGCGTATCCGCCAGATCCGCCTTCACATCGTGCTGCTTCAGGCCATTCAATGTAGGCCAGTCGATCTCTGAACGGTTGTTCAAGAGACAGTCAAAGTGTTTCCGCCAGACCTGCATTATGTCTGCAGTCTGGGTGCAGGTAGCGCCTGAACTACCATCGATCATTGTCCTCAGCGGCTCCAATCTCGGTCCATACACCGCCTTCAAGGAGTCAAAGAATTCCTTGTGTTGACGGCGTTCGGCGTAGCATTCCATCTGCTTCGCCTTCTCCGTCCACCATGCATTTTTAATGCGACGGAGCTCTCGGGTCAGTCGCCGTCGAAGTTTGCGAAACTGACTACTCTTCCCCAAGTCAATGGGGTCTGCCACATGTGCAGCAAATGCTGCATTCTTCTCTGACACCAATGCCCCAATCGTCACATTGTTGTCATCAAACCAATCAGGCCGTTTACAGTTTGCGCGCCCGATGGTCTCCTCGGCAGCAGCTGTCACCTGGTCGCGAATGTGGTGCCACAGGTCGCCCACTGTGGCTATACAGTCCACATCACCACACAGGCGTGCAGCCATCGCCTTCTCCAGCTCAGTACGTTTCGCCACAGTACCGAGGGAGAGAATGTTAAATTTACGCCGATTCACGGCGGGAGTGCAAAACATTGATTTACGAAAATATATGTACAGTTTGGTCCGCACCAACTTGTGATCAGTGCCACACTCAGCTCCACGCAGTACACGTGTCATGCGCACTTCACGCATATCACGCTGACGTACGATGACATAGTCGAGCAGGTGAGCGTGACCACTCCGTGGGTGCGTCCAAGTTGCTATATCACTCGCACTCAGTGCAAACCGAGTGTTCGTGATCGTCAGGCCGTGAGTGGCACACAGTGAGAGCAGCCTGTCACCGTTCGCATTCGCTGAACCAATGCCATGCGCACCGATAACATCTGTCCACGCTGATGCATCACGCCCAACGCGCGCGTTGAAGTCACCCAGCAGAAATAGTCGGTCGCTCCTCGGCACAGACCGTATCACGGAGGATAGCTCAGTGTAGAACTGATCACGCGTGTCATCAGGATAACACATGGTCGGACCGTACGTGCTTATAAAAGTAGCAAACTTACCTCTTCCGAGTCGTAGGCGAACAGTCATCAGTCGCGCGCTGATGCCCGTTGGTTCACCCACCAGCTGGCCATTCAGGCGATCGGATATTGCAAATCCGACCCCATGTTCACGTGGTGCTGAGGCGGCGTTCCCCACCCAGTAGAATGTGTAGCCAGCACCTGCTTCATGTAACTTACCTTGCTCAGCGAGCCGAGTTTCACTGAGCGCCGCAATATCGATGTGGTAGCGCGCTAGCTCCATTGCGACCAGTGCAGTGCGTCGCTCCGGGCGCTCGCTGGAGTTCCGGTCTAGTAGTGTGCGCACGTTCCAGCACCCGATGCTGAGTGCTTTGCGCGCAGGCATACGATTGCATTGGTGGGCAATCACACGAGAGGTGGTCGTTGTGCTTCGGAGGTTTGCTTGAGGGACTCCACCCGGAGCCTTTGGCTCAACAGCCTGACCCACAAGGCAGTGGGTGGTTTGGAGGTTTGCTTGAGGGACTCCACCCGGACCCTTTGGCTCAATAGCCTGACCCACAAGGCAGTGGAGGGCAGATCCAGCTCGGGAATGTGATTGCAGAGACAGATTGGGATCTGCTTGACGGCCGTCACACGCAGCCTTTGAGGTTCTGGAACAATTATCATATGTTTTGCGACCGTAATTGGATACGCACCTGCGACCACGGCCAGACGCAGGTGGGTTTTTGGCGGGTTTGCACCAATTTGACCAGGGGCTGCCTGGCTTGAGGCGGGCAGTAGCAAACCATTGAACACCCGGAGGTGTCCTCCCACCGTCAGAGATAATGCGTGGCACTCGTGCTCTACGCCAATCGAGCATTGAGAATATAACCCGTAAACCTGTTGTCTCGCATGGTTAGGTTTTACGGGAAGTGGGCCATCGACCACTTCCTAACCTCCGGAGAGGATGGACTAGGATACTGCCAGGGCGCCCAATCCTGACAGGAGAACGACTCGGGTCCTCAGCCAAAGCCTTCGATCAAATGAACACCCGAAAGGCAGCGGGTCTAGCACATGGTCAGTTAGCTGACTCATGCGGATTGGTGTCCTGGATCTTAGCAGGGAGAAGGGCGAAACCTAACTCCCACCCAGCGGTCGCCACGTGGAGGCGCCCAGGACATGAGACTATGGCGCAACAGTAGCAGCAGTGGGTAGACCATCTGTCAGGATCTAGCCACCACCAGCCTCAGCGCACCATAGGCTCTCCCGCCCAAATCAAATATACATATATACATACCACCTAACCAATAGCGGTAGCACTGATAAATTGCTACAAAATATGGACAAATGTGACGCAGCGAAAAGAGTAAGAAAGTAAATCTGTAAAGGGAGCAGATTTGTATGACGTGAACGCCCCTGAGTTCCAGTTTTTGCGATGTTCGAAAGGTTTTCTAGCCAAGTATTTTCATGATTGCTGTGATCCAGCCCGGGAATCGAAGGCGACAACTTTTAGGTTACATGTGGATGTTTGTGAGTAGCGTAATGTTCGTAGAAAGTAGAATTCATGGTTACACTTCCACAATAATCTGCCTCGACGTGGAATCGAACCCTTGCCCCACGAATTTCCGGTTCGCTGATCTACCACTGAGCTACCGAGGGCTGACGATTAGGTGTGCAATTTAATACGTAACTTCTGATTGGTGCGCGACTTATTGCCAATGAGCTCGCAGTATCTGTTCTGGTGTTGCAGATTGACTCACTCGTCACTTCCCAAGGGACCGAAGTATCTATCCTCCTTCTACTTTCTACGAACATTACACTACTCACAAACATCCACGTGTAATCTACCACCGCCCTTTGGACATCAGAAGGACAGATACTGTGAGGTTATTGGCAATACGTCGCGCACCAAGCAGAAGTCATGTATTAAATTGCTGACCTAATCGTCAGCCCTCGATAGTTCAGTGGTAGAGCAGCGGACCGGGAATTCGTGGGACCGGGGTTCGATTCCCCTTCGAGGCAGATTATTGTGTGAAATTTAATCATCTATTTTCTACGAGCTTTTAGGTTAGTGATTTAATAATTTGTATCCAAGTCACAAGTTAAACAGTCTTCGCCTCCAGTCAACTTCAGCGCGCAAAGTGGTATGCAGTGGGCTGACAAGCTAACCACGTGCACAGGCCACCCGGTAGCGGAGTAGTTGAAGTGTTTGTCTTACAACCCAAAAAGTGTTTGTTTTAGCCAGTGAACATGTCGTCGTCTTCCAAATAACCATGACATAAACGTCACCACGTGCAGTGGAGGGTCGGTATGATGTCCCAGGTTACTACTGATGCTCTCAGCAAAGCCAAATCCAACTTCACACTCAACGAAAGCAAACTGGCTAAGAGGATTAGCAGACCTGGTTATGCATAATGGGATTGAAAAGCTCTCCCCGAATGGTATTGTGTTGTTCAACATGATCTTTATTGATAATATGAGGCAAAGGCTGTGGATTTCTTTCAAGAGCCAACATGGTCCAGATGATCGTTAGAGGGTGACAAGTTCTGCTAGTAGAAATGCGTCTTGGTTTTGTGTTCGACTAAAGCATATCTGACTGACAGCGGTAGGCGCATACTATAAGGCAACTGTTCACTGTGACTAAGGAAAGGAACTTTACTTAACAGAAAATCACTAGATTACGTTTGAAGTAGTTACTACTTAGTGATGAAGATGAGGCAAACAGCTCAGATGCAGTGCACATATGCTCACGTGTGTTATGCTGATATATATGGAAATATACATACAAGTATAACACTATATAAGTGTGAGACAACTTGATCGGTCATCAACAACAGTACAGGTTCGTTCAGAGAATGTTAACAGTTCTCATGCAACAAACCAACATATGTTACGGTCTCTGGTAGTAAGACAACCGTGCTTCAAAAACCAACACGTATCCCATTGACGCACTTTTAATGTTTGACCATAATTCTTCACGTGACGCATTCTGTTGGTGAACAGGGTCAAGCTAAAAAGCGATGCGCTTATTACTGGTCGATTTACCGCTGAGGTCAGAAAATGCCGTCACGTGAGATGCACTCATGGGCGCAGGACAAAAGTACACTGGGCGCATAACAGGGCGTTCACCGGTGGTTACCAGGACATGCTGCCGGCCTAGCCTGTGCTGGCAGCTGCCCAATGCGCAAGGTATTATGCACATTCCTGGTGCGGTAAATTTTCCGCTGGTTTTGTGGCAGCGTTTTGTTTCGGTAGCGCGCATGCTGGACGGTTATTCAGAACCTACAAAACCTAAACTGAGACGTTGTAGGTCGCAAACGGGTAGTCTGCGTACAAATGGTTGCTAACCTGCTCTTGTATACACTGCAGTCTGTATTATCTGGCATTGTAATGAATCGCCCTGTCGATAGACGCTTTAATCTAAATGCAACATACGAACAAATCTAAGGTACTGTGTATAGTCCATTTTTACCGTCGAATGTTGATTCCTGTGAGAAAGAATAAACTGCGCTGTAAGGGATGTTTATACAGAGCTAGTTGGTATTGCTAATTGATTCGAATCTATGATAGAGTGAACGGCACCACACCACAACGAGGAACTCAGTCTGTACTCACTTGTGCTCTCCTCTCCTCCCAAAGGTAGCAGTGCTCCCTCGGTGATCGCAACTTTCGGTTCTGTGGTGGACTTGGACACAAAGCAAAAGTTTGGTATCATTAAATGGAGACATGCTGTGACCTATTGTGGGGAGCACAAGAACATTTATATCTGCTTTGGTGTGTGTCGTTCTTTAATTTACTTTGCGACAGGAGTGATAGGCCGCTGACTACAAAGACGCAAGTAGGTGCTTAATATGGCACATGTCGATTGTCGCAAAAAGCTAGGCAAAAGACCCACAAACGTCTAGAAAATCATTAAACGGCTGATTCATCCATCCGGGAATTATCAACCATACGCAGTCTATCTATACCTTTTAGGCTTAGACCATCTACCCTACTCAGATGAGTCTATGATAAAGAACATTTGGTCAGGAACGGCGACGGCGACCGCGATAACGGTGACAATGTTTTTCCGGAGAAGTAATGGCCGCCTGATTGTTTCAGTTGCTCATTCGTTCGCCAACCTTGGGAATTTGTTTGCAAACGTTTCACCACCATGCGAGGTGGCATCATCAGTGCGCTGAAAGGTAGAGTGTAATCTCGCTGATTCAATTGTCAATCCGTGATCGGCGTGCAGATGAGTTCGAAAGTGACGGCTGCGCCCCGTGATCACTACTCATTTTCCCCACAGCGGAAGTCGTCATTCGTTGTTTCTATTCAAGCAGCGTTTTGTAATTTCCATCGAAGGAGCTGGTAAACTGGGTCTAGGTCGATATGCATGTTGATTAAGTCCTTTGTTGAGAACCGCGCTTCCAGGAACTCCCCTTCTTTTTATTTCGCTTCTTGCCAAGATTTAGTTTTGGCCCAGTCGAAGCTGTGCGGTTTTTCGTCCATGTGCGCTGAGACTATTTTAGTGCTTTTTGCATAGTGCGTTTTGTACGCACTTTTGTGCTCTTGTATTCGTGTTGCTAATCTGCCACCTGTTTGGCCAACCTAGTCCTTTTAATACAACATATTCTGTCAACAATGTTATGTTGCCCATGAGCTTACAGTTTTGCTTCCGGTTTTGACAGTTTCATCAACGTGACAGTTGGTTTGTGTGCTACGATGAAGTGATGCTGTTTCACTAGTCTTGCCACCATTTCGAATGTATTCATTTATGTAAAACAACGCGTCTATTCTTCATTGGTCTAGACCGTCTGTTGGCGTTGTTGTGATTTAGGCACTTACGGATGATGCTTCACGAACATCCGTTGCGTCGGAAACATTTAAATAGTTGCTTCTTTTCTTGTTGCTTTGCCTCCTTGGTACTGCAGTGTGGTTGCACATTACAAAATAGTGTCAGCACACGGCTTACATTGTGGCGTTTCTGGTGGTTACTGTTAAAGTTCTGAATTTGGTCCGCATGTGTACTTTTTCTGTTAACTGATGTTTGCAACCTTCCATCCATGGTTCTGGTTAATAATACCTACAGGAAAGACTGCTGATTTTCATTCTCCATTTCCAGCATAAATCGGATGTCTTCAATGACATTGTTTAATAGCTGTTGTGCGACTGTAACAACTGCGTTTGATGATCACAAAAGTGTGATGGTAAGACACTACATTTAGATGCCCGTTGCATAGCGATCGGTCGAGCTTAACGATTTTGGGCCAACAGTATGGAAGCGGGTCGATCGCTGCAGCGGCGAACTGAAGGTTAGCATGCAATCGATTTGGATCGACATTGAACGAAACTCGAACGCTGGCTGAGAATGTAATAGAAAGGAGATTTGTTCTGCATCTGTGAGTGATTCTAATTGACTCGAGATATAAAATGAGTTGCGTTCTATGAATAATGAATTTCTGATCGAGGCCCAGACTTGGACTTTTTCATGAACGGAGGGCCACTTTACATGGCGACAGAGGACAAGAAGACACGCCGAACCCCGCATGCGTTTGGTGGACAACCAACGATTCCGCTGCCAGCTCCGTTGCAAATGACCGAGAGTTCGTTGCCGGAAAATTGGAGAATATGGAAGGCGAAGTGGCTAGACTTTGTAACACTGACTCAGTTGGATTCTCAGCCAATGGCCTATCAACTGGCGATGTTCAGGCATGCCATTGGAGACGAAGCCAGGCGGACGCTGCAAACGTTGGATCTCAGCGATGGAACTCAGGAGATGGAGCTGGATGAAGTAATACGCAGATTCGGCGAGTTTTGCGAAGGTTACACAAACGAAACTTACCAAAGGTATCTTTTTTTCAGCCGAAATCGCCTGCCGGGTGAATCAATCGACGCGTACATCACGGAGCTGAAAATTCTGGCGCGGGATTGCAATTTTTGCACCTGTTTACGAGATTCGCTGATCCGCGATCGAATTATAATTGGCATAAAGAATGAGGAACTTTCCAGACGCCTTTTGCGACAGCGAAACCTGTCTTTGGAACATTGCATCGATATCTGTTTTAGCGAATCAAGGACGGCTCAGCAGTTTCAGCAGCTCAAGATGGACTCCACGACGGATCTGTTTGCAGTATCCCGAGGCCGAGAAATTGTATCGAAGTCATCGAGCGCGAATCAACCCAAATGCCAGTTTTGCGGCCGCTCACACCCAAGGCGCAAAGAGGATTGTCCAGCATGGGGCCGAACCTGTATGAAGTGTGCGAAGAAGAACCACTTTGCACGTTGTTGTCAGGCAACCTAAGTCGACTCAGTCGGGCAGGACGATCAGGAAGAGCCGCAGGAACTGGCTATTAACAACATGACAGGACGTGAGAGACCAGTCTGTGTATTCGCAACGTTGCTTATTCAAGGGCGTCCGGTGCGATTCCAATTGGATTCAGGAGCAAGCGTGAACATACTTCCTCACAAATACTGTCCCGATGCAGAATACCGCCAAATACAGACACAGCTCAGAATGTGGAACGGATCAAAGTTACAACCGAAGGGCGGCGTTACCATGAAGGCCATAAACCCGAAGGATGGCTCCGAGCATTTACTTGATTTTCTCCTGGTATCAGGAGATTTAATGCCCATCCTGGGCCTTGATTCCATTCAGAGTTTGGGTTTTGTTTCTTTTAATCATGATCGTTTTGTTCACTCGTGCGAAGTCGGTACAGAGATCGTAGACAACTATCCCAGTGTGTTTGATGGTACCGTGGGAAAATTCCAAGGCGTAGCTCACCTGTCGTTAAACGAGTCCGCCAGACCAGTAGCACTACCAGCGAGAAAAGTACCTATCGCTTTGCGTGAGAAGTTCTTAGACGAGTTGCAGCGTTTGATCAGTTTAGGTGTGATTGCCAAGGTCGATGGGCCAACCGATTGGGTCAGTCAAGTCGCGATAATCACCAAGAAGTCAGGCGATTTGCGTGTGTGCATCGACCCTAAGCCGCTCAACGCCGCACTCAGGAGAGAGTATTTTACACTACCAACGCTAGATGACGTCTTACCCGAGTTGTCCAAGGCCAGATTGTTCACGAAGGTCGACCTCGCTTCCGCTTTCTGGCACGTCCAGCTTGACGAAGAGTCCAGTTATTTAACCCCGTTCGGCACGCCATTTGGACGGTTTCGGTGGTTGCGCTTACCATTCGGTTTGAAAGTGTCCAGTGAAATTTTTCAGAAACGATTAATGCAGGCCCTAGACGATCTACCCGGAGCTATTTGTGTAGCAGACGATGTAGTGGTTTTTGGGGCGACTCTGGAAGAGCACGACCGTAACCTGAGCAGATTTCTAGAACGCTGTAAAGACAAGAATATCAGATTGAAACGTGAGAAAATTGAGTTACGAAAAACAGAGCTGGTGTTCCACGGACATGTTTTGAGCGCAGAAGGTCTAAAGCCAGATCCGGAGAAAGTTAGAGCCATAAAAGAGATGCCACCTCCGACAGATGTTAAAGCCGTGAGCAGACTAAACGGGATGGTGAATTACCTCAGCCGCTTCCTTCCACGACTAGCCGAAGTAATGGTTCCTATCCGAAAACTTACACATAAGGGCGAGAGCTGGCAGTGGAACACAGAACAGGAGGAGGCTTTCCAGAACATCAAACAACTGATCGCGTGCGCCCCTGTCCTAGCGTATTACGATCCGTCACTTCCCCTTGAGATCCAGTGTGACAGCAGCCAATTCGGTATCGGTGCCGTGCTAATGCAGAACGGGAAGCCCATCGATTTTCGCAGTCGGACACTAACAGAATCCGAGCGCCGTTATGCACAGATTGAAAAGGAGATGCTAGCATTGGTTTATGCCGTAGAGCGTTTCAACGATTACACTTTTGGTCGCCGGACCACTGTATTTACCGATCACAAGCCTCTGGTATCAATAGCCAATAAACCACTGCACGTCGTCCCACGCCGCTTACAACGAATGCTCATTCGGCTCCAGAAGTACGACCTGGACATCGTCTACCAACCGGGGTCGAGGATGTACATTGCAGACACACTGTCTAGGGCATATCTTTCCGATGTGACCGCAACGCAAGAAGACCAAGACATTGTCCATGTCACTCAGCTATTGGCCGTCACAGAGGAGCGTTTCCAGCAACTACTACGCCACACGGAAGCAGACGAGCTGTGTAATCGGCTCAAGGAAACGATACTGAAAGGGTGGCCCGATAGTAAAAACAAGCTGCCAAAGGAGTTGACTCCCTTCTTTAACTTTCGGGATGAACTTGTCACACAGGATGGGCTAATCTTCAAAGGCAACCGTATACTCGTTCCAAAGGCAATGCAACGACCCATGCTGGAGCTGATACACGGAAGTCATTCAGGAGTCAATGCTTGCGTGGCGAGAGCTCGAGAGCTAATGTTTTGGCCTGGAATGACTAGTCAGATACGGGATCACGTTTCAAACTGCTTAGCCTGTCGAGCACATGATGTCCGCCAGCCGAAGGAGCCTATGATGCTTCGTGAGGTACCGGAAAGGCCGTGGCAGAAAGTCGCCCTAGACATCTTTGCACATGACGGAAGGAATTACCTGATCGCTGTCGATTACTTTAGCGACTATTTCGAGATTGATGCTCTCACGTCTACTAGCACACAGGCCGTGATAAACAAGCTACGATCGCAGTTTGCGCGACATGGGATACCGGAAGAGGTAGTGTCCGACAATGGCCCCCAATTCAACAGCGCCGAATTTCGGAGTTTCAGCGAAAAGTGGGATTTCCTTCATCGTTTAACCAGCCCTTACCACAGTCAGTCAAATGGAAAAGCTGAGGCAGCCGTGAAGGAAGCAAAGAAGTTACTCACCAAAGCCAAGGAGACCAAAGAAGATCCTTACATCATGTTGTTAGAACGAAGGAACATGCCATCTGCCGAAATTGGATGCAGTCCAGCGCAACGTCTGTTTGGCCGTAGGACAAGAACCCTGTTGCCGATCGCCAATACTCTGCTGCAGCCTGAAATACCATCGCAGAGCTTGATGTATGAGCGCTTGCGTGAGCGCATGCTTCGACAAAAGAAATATTACGATCGCGGAACGAAGCAGCTTCCACGCCTGTTGCCCGGAGACGAGGTCTGGGTCGCGCCGACACCGGGAGCTAACGGGTCTTGGAGGAGAGGGCGAGTAGAAGGTCTCAAAGTCGAACGAAGCTACGACGTAAGAGTTGGGGATAGTCTATTTCGACGCAACCGGGTGCAGTTAAGGAGACAACGTGGTGAACAAGCACGGCATCGTGCGAAGCAGCCAACGCAGCCGGACATTTCGGTGGATACAGCAGCACACGACCACAAGACTACACGCAGTGGAAGGCGATACAGCGCTTACGCAATCGGACTACAAAAAAACGAAAAAAGGAAGGATGTGATGGTAAGACACTACATTTAGATGCCCGTTGCATAGCGATCGGTCGAGCTTAACGATTTTGGGCCAACAGTATGGAAGCGGGTCGATCGCTGCAGCGGCGAACTGAAGGTTAGCATGCAATCGATTTGGATCGACATTGAACGAAACTCGAACGCTGGCTGAGAATGTAATAGAAAGGAGATTTGTTCTGCATCTGTGAGTGATTCTAATTGACTCGAGATATAAAATGAGTTGCGTTCTATGAATAATGAATTTCTGATCGAGGCCCAGACTTGGACTTTTTCATGAACGGAGGGCCACTTTACAAAAAGTGTCGTCAACATTTGGGACACACAGTTCCGGGGAAATGAGTGGGAGTACACTTCTTTCCAATTTTTGCATTACCACCTCCGCGACGACTCTTGATATAGGTGATTCCATTGGCGCGCCTTCCAATTGTTCGTAGATCTTCCCGTTGAAAGATGTAAGTTGACAAACACAACTGGAGTAGCTTGCATACATTTTAAGTCGTGATGTTCCCATTTGCTTGTTCGTTGCTGTTCATTCGTTCTGTGATGACTGTGGTTGTAATTTGACAGACGTAAAGAGGACAATCACGACGAAAGATATCCTCGTTTATCATCAGCTATTCGCATGTCTTTGAACTTTCGTAGAAATTGCTGGCGATTATTTGCGAAATATTCCGATCCGCAGACCAGATGTTTGAGACGTTTGCACATTTCTTTCGCCAAGTTGTAGGTGGGTGTTCCTGGTAGTGACACGATCGGCCGTAACGGTGCATCCCCTGTGTACCTTTGGCAGTCCATAGAATTGCGCGATGCTCGAGTCGCGGGCTCTAATTCGTTCGCGATCCACTTTCGTGATTTGGTTCTTTTCCTAATGTCGTTTCCATATTCTGTTTATTTTGTTTGTCAGCTGCGAGGTTGGATCGCAGTCAATGCACTTTCAGGTCATTGTGTCGTTCAAGAGACTTAAAGCTTTCTTTTCATTATAACATTTATCTGTCCCTTGGCTGCCGGCAGAATGATGACAGGTTCGTCAGACTTCAAGATTTTATTGCCTCCTGTTCTTGTCTGCTTAGGGTATTGTATTGCATATTGCGCAGTATAGGTGGAACAATGGTGTATCTTGCTCGCTTTTGAGTCTCTTCATCAAGTCCATTGGATTGTAGGGTTCTTTCGAATGTTGTCAGAAAGTCTGTAGTTGCTGCATCTCTAAAGTTATAGTTTAGTTCCTTGATGAGGTTTTGCTATTTGGATTCGTTAATTAGTCGGTTAGGACAATTCCTGATCCAGCTATCACTGGTAGTTCTGTCTTTAGCAGAGGTCAGTTTTGATAACTTATCGAGAAGTGCAGTATGCTTCTTTGTCCTACCGTTTGTCGCCCGACGTAATATTGCAGCGTCAAGTTGTTCCGTTAGTTTTTGTCTAATGACTTAAAGACAGGTGGACCGATGTTCGTCCAGACATCGTTCATATTTCTTGAGTCGATTCTGAGCGTTGGTGATCATCAGCCGTATCATACGCTTGCACAATTGTCGAGCGGCTGCCCACGCTTATGTGTGATAAAGCTGTGGTTTGTAGCTAATACTGGGGGAGGAACGGCCCTTCTCAGACATTCATGAACGAAGAAGAGCTATTGGCTGATAGAGCTTGTCTGCAAGCGAAGTCCTCCCAACGGCGAACAGTGTGGAAATTTGAACACCCGTTATTCTTTAAAATGTTTCGTAAAACTGGTGGCTGGGGCTGATGGTTCAGTTGCTCATTCGTCCGTCGAGCTTGAAAATTTGTGCAAACTTTACACCACTGTTTATTTGTGTTGAATTGGACCGGTAACAAAACGATTATCCTTCACTAGGATGTTGACTACATTTGTACAAGCAATAAAGAAGAATCATAGACGGCTCTATAGTCACAATGACACTAGGAGCACGGTGCGTAGAAGGTTAGGGTGGAAGATAGGGCTCTTATTGAGCACGAAATACAGCCTTTAAGTCGACTTTTTGGGAGAGCTAGTCGGCAGTGTAATAGGTGCTGATGTTCGGGTGCCTGTGATTGTGTGTATAGCTGTTGTGTTAGACCATGTCAACTAGCAAGGCACGGAACTGCCAACTCATCATGACAGTTGGAAATAGAGCACTGATGGAACCTAAAAACCATATATGTTTCAGTGTTTGTTTCCATATGTGATCATCTTATTGTCCGTAGAATGAGGGCCTCCGAGGCTCAGGCACTCTGACTAAAGCGGCAGCAAAATATTTCATGACTTTACCAGACAGGAGAAAGAATGTTGAAAATTACCGTGCCAGATATATGAGCATTGCATCAGGCTTCAGAAGCTTACTGGTAATTGGCACACAATCACATTCATTTCTCTGTTGGTTGGTTCACAATAATTCAAACGAAATTTCCCGATGCATTGAGACGGAAAACTTACTCTTCCTTCAGAATCAGCAGCCCAACCATGAGGAATTGGTAGACCTCTTCGACGACACATTTCAATCTGCAGAACATAAACAATCTAACTAAATTGGATATTGAAAACACACTGAGTATTCCTGTGAACAAAGTGTAATTTCACAGGGGTGACTAAAACCTTGTTTTCTACGGTTGTTATATCAATTAGCTCGTTGGGGGCATATTAAAATCTTAATAAAATAATAGTCTACACATAAAAAAGATGAATTTAAGAAGTTCAGTTGCATCACTAGGTAACAACTTTGAAAACTGAATATCCAGGCAGAACGTCTGCACTTAGTCTGATCATGTTGTTAATACAAAGATGGATAAATACAAGTGTTCCGTGATTAACAGAAACGATGTTTCTTGAAACCCCGTTAATTACGGGTTATATTTGGAAAAGTAGGTAAGTTTACTGCGAAGTTGCCTGCATCTAAAACGCAATGAAATAGTGAGAATACCCCACACTACACTGGCAGTGGAAAACATCGACTGAACCCCGAGAAAGCTATATTTCATAGCCAGGTTTTTCTAGTGGTCCATAAGGTTGATTCTGTAACTAAAATTCAACCGGTTGCAGCAATCGTTATCGAGCTTTGTGATCATCTGACACACCATTAGGAGGTCACCAGGCAGACGCTGATATCGTCCTCACTTCACACTTAGCTCGTTCATGCTAAGCCAATACGGAGGTTGCAAATGGAAACGATGTTAAAGTTAACCACTCGGCACAGAAACGGAGTAGCCTGGAGAGTGCTCTATCAAAGCTACCAGGTCTGGATAGTGAACAACATGATTACTTAAATATGCCTTAAGTATTTGCGGAAAAATGAAATGTCATGCCGTCAAAAAGTGCTTGAAATGGACTGCATTTTTGATTTTGCCTTCTAAGGCTTGGATCACAACTGCCATTCGAGTTTATCCTATGCGACCTCTCTATGATCCCAATGGGGTGTGAACCTCATGATGTACATCTGAGGAGTGTTTAAGCTTCCTGCTACATGGTGTTTAAGAACCAATAAGCGTTTGACCATGTCACGCGGAAGTAGCTACCAGCTGACACTCTACACAATAAAACCTCCAAAACTGACAACCTCTAATGTACCATGACCACTTTTCAAATGTAACTGATTAATTTTTCAGTGATTAAATATTCACTATGTAAACCTTATGCATCCAGATTTTTGTATATTGGCCACTTCGATTCAGTCCATTTAGCTGTCAACTTATGGAGGTTTTACTGTACGCTATCTAGTACAGAGTGCAGTATCTCATAATCAGTTTGCATGTCACCATTACTCAGGAGAAAAAAATCTGTACTTAAGAAAATTACTCATGAGAACACGATGTTCCAATGGATCGACGGTGTTGGAGAAGTTAGTAAAGATGATTTATAAGTAGAATTAAGTAGCATCCGCATTGCAGCATTAGACTTGTGAATTGTATGAAACGCTGGGGTTGAACGAAGCTGTATTTTTGTGTCGCGATGCAATGCCATCGTAACAGATGCTCCACGACTGTCTGAGGTACCGGGGTCTCCGCTGAGTTGGTGAGAACCGTTAGGTGAGCCGTTTGTATATGTCGTTTTCACACCAATGATACTTTTAACAACTGATACGATGATTTATCTCTTAACTAGGAAAGCTTTTGCGCATTTAAGAAATTGCGACAACCTATGACTAGTGCTTTGCTAGTTTTGTTAAGGACCCATAAAGTGGCCTCTGTTTGAAGTGAGCTACTTCTCAGGGGCTGTTAATGACCTATGCTACAAGTGAGACAGTCTCTTTGTGGCCTCGATGGATACAGGAATGTGGTATAGGCAAGTCAAAAGTACATTGCAGGGGAGCAATAAGGCAGCACAGTGATAGCCATTTGGTCAGTCTAGTATTCCTCTCTACTTGTTACACAAGTGGAAAATTTCCACGAGCGTTTTTCTCATGCGTGTGCAGCACATTGTGGTAAATTCAAATCTTAGCCTTCAAGCTCAATTGATGGAGTAACTCGTTCTCATGAAAACTTGCTTACATCAGTCAATTAGTAACTAGTTGTCGTTTCAGATGCTGGGAAACGGTAGGTCAGGTATAAGTGCCATATCGTGTTAATAACTACTATGGGTTTTTGGTCCTTTGCTCTAAACACAGATAGCCATTGCGAAACGAAGAAAGTGTTTCATTGATTACAAGTATTCGTGAAATCCGTGAGCCAGTGTTTCAAGTACTGCTTCATAGAGGTAAGTTTAAAATTAGAAAAGTGGGAATGCATGCATAAGCTCCGCACTCCGTTAAATATACTGCATGACAGGGGATGCTGCTGCTGTCGCTACTGCTACTGCTACTGGTTGACTGTGTGAGCATTCTCCGTAATCGAAACTGTTGACGTAATCTTATCCATAGTGAGCATTGTAAATACGAGTGAAATGATCTTTAATGATGTTCTGTTTTTCACTACTGAGACTGCGGATAACATATGTTGATGTGGCAGTACTTTGCGTTAAATAACTAATCACTTGTTATCAAGTTATAGCTAGGCACAAGTGAATCAGCGTGATTGGTCGGTTACTTGACTTAAGTATACGTCGATCGTAACTTTTTTGGTAGTTTCCATAAATATGGAAAAGCTGTAACATGTTCAATGGAATTGGTGCACGTATATGTAACAGTAAATCGTTTTCAGTCCACAGATCTATGATGAAGTCGGTTTCGGTAGCTGCAAAAAGAGACAACCATCACTTCCGCATGCTGCGCAGGGCATTCGGGAGATTTGACCCATCAAGCTTCCCAAGTATGCACAATTCCTACGTGCGCCCGTATGTTGAATACACTATCCAACCTTGGCAACCTTAGTTGAAGTGCGACCTACAGGCGTTAGAGGCACCAAAAGGAAGAGCAAGCAAGAATGTAAAGGGCCCGCGCTATCAAACTTATCAGTAAAAACTGAAGTTGCTGGGAATTTTCAGCGGACGCTATCGAAGGCTGCGCGGCGATCGCATATTAGCGTATCAGATAGTGATTGATCCCAACCACCTATACCGCCATTTGCTGAAACTTAACACGCAACTCATTTTAACTGCTTAAAATTGAAGGAACAATATAGCTGTCTAGAGTGTCGGCATAATTACTTTTGATGTATTCATGAGTAGGGGATTTTGATGTAATTAAGTGCGGTCTATCGTAACCAGTTTCCAAATCAGATAGTCGTTTACATGCCCGGAAAAGCACTAGACTGCAGTTTCAGCCGGTTGAACATCGTCAGTAGTGCGTATCAATCGGATCCGTCAGGATTCGAACGCATGAACACCTGCGGCGTAAAGTGCCAGTCAGCGCCTTATGCCACTGGGCTGTTAGTGGACGTCGTGTCTTTCAGGGCCAACCCTGTCCTCTGCAACGTTAGTAACTTGCATGGCAATGGAGGATAAGAGGCGCTATATCGCTGTTAGCTTGTAAATCATGACGATCCGAAATTGTCCCCAGTGGCCAAGTAGCAACTGAAAATAACAGAAAACAGTGAGTAAAAAACAACAATGAAATTGCCGACAAATATGTTGTCCGGGTGATTTTATTCCCACGTAATTTGAAAACCTACCAATTTTGGCTTTCCATGCAAAATAGGTTTGGATGGATGCAGCTTGGTTTTCCGAATGTGCGTATGGATCATATGTGTTTTATAATGTACTGTAATACAGTCAGCCTATTTTACTCCTAATTTTTGAAGGAAGCCAATGAAGGGGCTGAGATAACTGCTTCTTGGAAGGAATTTCATGCTTGGCAAACATGTAGCGAGAAGTAAGTCCGTCTGAACTGCAGCCGGCTGCATTATTCAGCCAATTGAAATGGCGGCCTACCAGCCTACTATTATGGTTGAGTTTAGCAGACGATGGCACGAGTCGTTAGAATTGCTTAAAATCTGTGAACTTGGATAAGGTCACTACAAAAACGTCGATAGCGTTCACTAAAATCTTCCAGAATACTCAATCACTGTTCGTAGGGTAAATCTTATGGCCCTTGACGTTTTTGTTGGTCAGACGTTGTAGAATCTAAAACGACGAGATTCCGCTTCTGCCTCAGCTACAGTGTTTGAATCACATATTTCAAGTAAAGGGGTATATATGTAAAGGCAGCTGGTAATAACTGCATGGGTTGAAGTGAACAATCACATTTCGCAAGATCACCATATCTTGGACCTGACTCTTGATGTCATTTCGGATTGCTCTGAGCAACAATGGTTTCCTTGGACCATCACATCAAGGTATGCTCTATGTGAACAATAGTAGAGATCCTGGTCGCCCCGCCTATAGGTGTGAACCATTTGATGTCGTAGCTGAAGAACTCGTCATTTGGTTATGTTAAACTGGAGAGAATTCTGAACAGGCCAGTCCTAAAACTAGTCGAGGTTGGTTGAGGCTGTATGCGGTCGCCTAGCATTTTGATCCACCTCCAAACTTCGATGTCGTTGGCGTAAATTAAACGGTTTGAAGTGATCAAGCTGCTTAAACCGTCAATAAATATTAGGAGCAGGCGGGGCCCCAATAGCATACCTGGTGGCACACCGCATTCGATTTGGAAAAGATTTGATACGACTTAACAGATGTTTACTTCCAGACGCCTGTGAAAGAGGAAGCGGCTGAAACATCCTGGAAGCGGATCACCAATGCCATATTCGGGAAGCTTGGCTAGAAGGACACAGTGCTCCAACTGGTAGAATGTGTTAGAAAAATCGTGGTAAACATTATGAACACCTACGCCGCTATACTTTACTGCAGTCCAACCGTCTCATGCTAACGGTAGATGGGTAGTGCATGATTGATGCTGACGGAAGCCATGTTGCTCTTGAGTGATGTAGCCAAATTTGTTCAAACATGACATCAGCGAAGCAGCAGTGAAAACTTTCATAACTTTTGAAAGAACTGAAAATAAAGTCACTTGACGGTAGCCATCTGCATAGGAACGAATGCCTCCCTTGCAAATTGGAGTTGTTATCTAGTGTCCCTACTCCGTAGGAACATGTCTTTCGTCAAAGCAGTAATAGAATAAACTCGCCAAAGCC